TATATATATATATATATATATACACACACACCCACACACGTGTGTGTTTGGAGTAGGTATGGTTTTATATGCATGCTTCTAACATATAACTTTGCTCATTTCTCTGAGTGGAACTGGTGTATTTATTTTCAACTAGATGGCGTATCTTAGTGCTGCACTAGACAGAAGGAATAATAAATAAAAAGTGATTTTATGTTTCTATATTGCTTCTTCTTTTTTTATTTCTCATCAGATCTTCTGAGAGATGTGATGTGTTCTTGAAGAAAACAAACTTTAAAAAACGTCAAGGAATGCAGCTACTCAAAACAAGGACGCTGTTCTAAAAAGTTCCTGTGACTGATTAAAGGGAATTTGTAGAAGAAGAAAAAAAGATTAATTTACAACAACAACCTCACTTACCGTAAGCTGATAAGGTTGATTTATAAATACAGGCGAAGTTACTATGCTGAAGAACTAAATGTTCAACTCGCTATGCAAAGTATATATATCAGTCAAATATATTTAACCTTAACAAATATATGCAATTTAAAATTTTTATGTTATTAAGATGTATATATTTCAGTTGTGCAGTATATCTTCTGAAGAAATTGCATGTCAAAACTTTTGAGACTGTATATCAGATAACGAAATTTAATCGCGTTTCCCTAACGCAATTTGAAATAATTAATATTTATTAACAGCAACAATTCATGAGCACTTTCGATGAAACCGTAAGGGACCATTATAATGTTTACATATATTAAAATGATATTAAAAATATTTGCACTATCGAACTAAAAAAAAAAAAAAACGTTTTCCCATTATTATATGAAATAAGTCATATTCTAGTTTTTCATGTCTCTCAATTAAGTGATCAAAAATCTAAACAACAATGTTCGGTACAAAATGGAATATTGTTACGTCATCTTGTCGGTATAGCGTTCGTGTTCATCAAATTCCCAAAAAGAAACGTACGCTTGTTGAGATGAAAGTTGCGTGTTTATGAAAATAATATTCAATAATAGAAGTTATTAGTAATAACCTACAAAAGTAAATGTTTTCTTGCTGTTACATTGCGTGTAGCAATCCCTATGTTAACGAAAGATCCACCCATTTAATTAGATAGAGTAGGCCTAGTCTCCAAACTATACTGTCTATCGTGTAAAACTAGAATTATCCGGTTTAATATATGGAACGTGTTTCAAACGTATCATAATTTGTTACAGTTATGCTCTATTGTTAACAACATAATAACCACTGTCGGCCCCATTTGAGCTATACTGTAATCCTTTATTCGTCTTTAACCATAGCTTTACTTTTATACTGAACACACATATTATCTTAAATAGGAATAATTCATTTGTGTACTCATAAAACTCTACATTTTAAGTGCTTAAAAATGTCTTATTGACACGAATGGCTGGTGTGTCGGGCTGCATATCAGAAAGTTCAGTGTTCAAGCAAACAATATGACGCCTGATCACACCTGGCCATTTCAGCTATGAACACGTTATAAAAGTGACAATCAATCCTGCTATTTGGTTAAGATTGGTCTTTTAGACGGCGGGTGTTTTTGACTTGTTGCCCTCCTTCTGGTCAGCAGTTTTAAATTAGGGACGGTTAAGCCTGAACCTCAGAGGTCTCAGATCTGATCGTTTAGCTCATGTATCGCATAAGGTGCTGTTCAGGTTGAAAATGCTAAATACCAAAAATAAAGGATTTTTTGGTATTATTAAGGAACTATTAATCATTAAATAGCTTGAGAGCTTTTTTGTTAATAGATGAGTTGTAAAGTTATGTATTACATCTTTTTAGCACACAAATTAGATTAGAAGAAACATTTTAGCCATTTCCCCTTAAATGTCGGAACACTTTTTCAATAATATACTTTTTAAAATTACCTCTAAAATATATTCATTTTACATTTGCAGACAGCTGAATACATTAAAGTTGTTTTGGATATGCAAATCAGCAAGTCACGTGACATACATAGCCAATATAACGTTGCAGTAGAACAGCATGTATCAGTATTACATTTTTAGATTGTTCGGTGTTCATAGGTATTGTAATGCCACCAATAGTTGATCGGTTGTGGGAAGGTATGTAACAGCTCTTTCCATTCGTGCACTCAAGTTGAAAAGGTGTCTTTGGAACAGAGATTGAGAATTTCCAAGACTCCACAAATACAAAGGTCAGTGGGAAAGGCTGTTTATGTGTTCCAGGCAACAGTACGTACAAGTTATGTGTACACAAGATGCTCCCGTGGTATATTCGTTCAAGTGTCGCATTCCTCCATCAACTGATCGAAGTCGTACTGATCAAATCGCTGTATCTGTGTTTTTGAGCTTTTGAAATGGACGTTAAGAATTTGTTGTCCTTATACATTATATGTCTTATGGAAATTAAGCAGGGAGCAGTGGCGTGCTTTTGGAATTGCAGCCTTAAAACGGAACTTTTAGCAATAAAAACTACGCTGCAAAGCTATTGTTGTTTACATGGTCGTCAAGTAAAGCATGACCTGACGTGGTGACATGGACTGTAACGACGTGACGAGGCTCCAAAATCATTTTAATGTAAAGTACTTAACTTCTGTAAACCCTATAATGACGCATTTGTCTACAATTTTTGAGTTGAGAATCCTCCTTGCCAGGGTTTAAGGCGTAGCCCTGATAGTCATTAAGGTCATCCAGCTAACCACTTTTCGTTTGAAACAAATGGAAATTTGACTCATGTGATTTCGGAGCTAGAAATCTTTAAAATTCAAGACTCGAATTTCAATAAAATATTGGCTGAATGTGTCTCAGTTTCCCAGCAGAGCTAATCGAGGAGCTGTTTAGATTACCTTGACTATAACTAATACATAGTAACATGAAATATAACATTTACAGATTTTATGGTACCTTTCTTTCCAGAAGACCCAAGACTTAATATAATGCTTGTCCTAAAAGTTGTTTTGAGCCTCGTGTATGATATTTCTTGTTTGGAAATACTTTGATCTATTTTCTCATTCTATACTGTATTATTATCATTTACAGTCTTATTCAACCGCTATTGTTTAGTTATAAGCAGGGAAAGCTCCAGAATTAACCATTATGGGGGTAGCATGTGAGGAGTGGATCCAAGGGGAATATTCTGCTTTAACAATACGGAGAAGCTTAATTTTTTGCTATCATGACTGAGCTATAATTTAAATGCATCGCTAATGTAGCTTATTCTGTATATTGTACTTTTTTCTTGAGTTTTTTTACGAGAAAAAACTTTAATCAGCTACCTACAGATACCGCGAGATGGGTTAAAGAAAGGGGGGGGTCTCACCCCACCCTACCTTACTACTACGTAGTACGTCGTACCTCGTTACGTTACGTACCTTACGTTACGTACGTACGTTACTACGT